GATCGTAGATGGGAGTAATAAAGAGAAAAGGAAGAGGAGAGATAAAAGTGAGAGAGAATGAGGAACAAAGTGGAAGGAAGAAAATGCCATCTCTCTTCTTTCTCCTACCTAGAACTTTGTTTATTGAATCTCCACATATGATCTAGTGATCTATTTATAAGATGCTGGATTGGATGCTCTGTTTCTGTAATAAAAAATTATAGAATTGTGGTGTAAAAAAGTGGTGAGTCTGTGAGTCTCCACAGCAGAGGGCCTGTCAACTTGTTTCCCTACTAATTTTATGAGCCCGATCCGCTGCCTACGAGAACCCTGCTCACGTTTATACGTTTATCTTAGTCACACATGGAGAATATCTCATTCTCTACATAGTTCTCGTAGGGAGGAGATCCTGCGCTCTAATTTTACTCTGCTCTTCTCCCTATTAACTCAATTAAAATACACCACCTGTCACTACCCATGCTGGAAGAGAATTAACCTTCCAACAACTGATCAAACCTTAACTTCTATTAAAATAAATTCTTATGTTTTATTTACCCACAAAACATTTTTTTCCCTTTCTCTTTTGCACGCTAAGGACAAATTTCCAAAAATGCAAATTTCAAATCAAGTTATATAGATTCACACCAAATATTGAACATTCGATAGCTTCCAACTTCATTTATTTGGTGATTTTGTGCCCTTTTTCTTTCTTAGTATTGTGGCTTAATGGAATAAAATAGTCATTTGCCAATTAAGGAAAAATTGCTTGGTTAAATAGGAATTTGTTATTGATTTTCCTAAAAGACTTTCAATCAGCGTTTTAAAAAATGACCCGGAAATAGAATCTTTTTAGCCATTAGTTTCCGAGTCAACAGTCCAACTGTTTGGTTTGAACAGATGCCTCGTTTTGACAAACAAATTAAAAAAATAGTAATAAATTGTTGAATGGATCGACGGTTCGACTGATCGGGTCAATGGGTTGTTGACTTTTTCAACAATTTTTTACGAAAACCGGGTTTGGAGTAAAACGGAATTGGTTGCCTGGAGAGTTCCTCGGCTGAACAGTCTAAATGTCAAGGTCAACAATGGTTTGAAAACCTTGCTTTCAATTGAATTGAAATATTAGGACAAGAAGCAACCTATTCATCTCTATTTGAATCAAGAACATTGAACGTCGTCACTACTATAGGTTTGAGGAGCCTCAAACTGGAACTTCATAGGGATTATTTTGAACATTGCACTTAGTATCATCCACAAAAATGAGTCATTTTGATCGTTTATCATGTTATGTTATCAAATTTATCAATTTCTGGGTTGAGAAATAGAAACAGGGAGTAAATTCCTCAACTGGGCCAAGTAGATTTATATATTGTGGAGAATTCAATTAGGGATCTGTAATATTTTCTTGTAGAACATTACCAGCAACTTGAGAAGAATATGAGATGCAATCAACTAGAGTTCCTATCTTCAATAGATAGTTTTTACCTTGAGAATTCAAAACTGAAGAAAAACATAAAAGTTGATAACAGATCATGTTATGTTTAATGGCTAGAAGCAATGTTTTTAAAACCAACCCAAAGAACAAACCGAACAGGGGTCCAGTTCCCGGGTYGAACAGTTGGCCCGTTTTGATAAAAAAGTAAAAATAAAAAAAAAGATAAAAAATGGTCAAAACTTTTGAACAATTTGAACGATTCAACTGCCCATGTCAATAGTTTGTTAAACAAATCAACGTTTTTTTGGCAAAA